TATGGAAATGATCTGTGCCATGTGTTACAAACGTGCTTGTCTTTGCAGGATTCCGATGTGTTTTACATCCCTACCAGCGGCCTATCCGGAGAGAATCTGACAACTAGGAGTAAAGTTGCAGATCTTACAGCCTGGTACACTGGGCCATGCCTACTGGAACAGATAGGTGTGTGTGTGTTTGTGTACACACATTTGTGTTTTCGGGTGGGAAAATCATTTAGTGCAAAATGAGGGTGAGTAGATAATGATCAAATGGTCTGTAGAAGGTGCGGCTGTGTCTAAATTAACCAAAAAAAAATTCCGCTTCAATAATTATGCAAATTAATTATCAAAGTTTTTTTTTTATTTTTTTTTTAAGTTGCATCAAAAACAATCCACTAGGCTAAAAAATCTGATGTGGCACAATTAAATGTTTGAATGGGTGCTTCTGTGTTCATGTACAGAGTTGTGTGTGTAAGAATGTAGAATCATCTGCTGTGATGATTTTCGCAGGAGCTCCTGTGTCGTTATGCTGTGATCTGATTGGTGGCCGAGTTGTGAGAATCCTCAGCAGTTTTACTTTGACTCATCAAAATTTGATGAGGCAAACAGAAAACCTTTAGACTACTGCATCTTTCCTCATCTCTTTCTCTCTATCTGTCTGCAGATGCGTTTAAACCACCCCAGAGGTCAGTGGAGAAGCCATTCAGGCTTTGTGTCTCAGACGTCTTCAAAGGTCAGCATGGGAACCAACATAAAAGCAAAATGCACAAATATCAAAGTTGATTCTGTCCATGTATTCCCTTGTTATTAAAAAAATGAAACCCAAAAATGAAACAAACCCTTATTTTTACTCTTTCATTATAGCCAGTTAAGAGACGTTTTACTTTATGATCATCTAAACAGCCTGACTGTTTTCAGATCAGGGCTCTGGGTTCTGTGTGACGGGGAAGATTGAGGCTGGCTTCATTCAGACAGGAGATAAAGTTCTGGCCATGCCTCCTAATGAGACCTGTACTGTTAAAGGTAAACACAGCTTTATCAGCTTCTAGAGATTTGAGGAGGATATGCATATGCCATATGCTTTAGGAGGATATGCAACAGCGCCCCCTTCTGGTGTTGTCATGAAAGACCGTACACTACTGATCATAATTCGCTACTAATCTTTACAGTGCTTTAAACTTGTTTTAGTTCTTTTTTTCCAGTTCTGTGGCTAAGAAATGGATGCTGCATGTAGTAGGGATGCACAGTATTAGCACTGGGCAGAATAGTTGTTTATATGTTTAATGTAGCAATAAAATGCAGAAAAATTATTTAATACATATAATGAATATTATGAGAATATACACTATTGTCAGTAAATTTAGTACTTTTTAATACTGCTTTGTCATCGCAGGAATAAATTACATTTTAAATAGTATTTTAAATTGTAATAACATTTCAAAATATTACTGTTTACTGTTTTTTTAATAAAATAAATGCAGCCTAGGTAAGTAAAAAAAAATTTATTTCAAAGATTTTACCAACCTCAAACTTTTGAATGGTAGTGTATCACCTAGCCCTAATTTGCATAAATTATGGAAATTATTTTTATTTATTTTTTTTATTTTTATTGATGCATCCTTAAAATGCAGTCTGTCTGTCTCTAGGCATCACTCTTCATGATGAAGCTTTAGACTGGGCAGCTGCTGGTGATCATGTCAGTCTAACTGTAACTGGCATGGACATCATCAAAATAAAGTGAGTGTGCAAAGTGTGTGTTACCTTTGTTAAAAACTCTGGGCACTGTTGATTCTGTATGATCATGTATTAGGTTTTCTCGTCGCATTATCTTCTCTTTCTAGTGTTGGATGTATATTCTGTGATCCTAAAGAGCCCATCAGAGCCTGTACACGATTCCGAGCAAGAATTCTACTCTTTAATATAGAAGTTCCCATCACGCAAGGCTTCCCGGTGAGGAAATGCTCTGTTCAGACTCTCTCTCTCTCTCTCTCTCTCTCTCTCTCTCGTGTATATATGTGTATATATATGTGTATATATATATGTGTATATATATGTATATGTATATGTGTATGTATATGTATATATATGTATATGAGGGATGTGCAAGTGCATTTGTTAACATTTGCTCGTGTTTGATTTTCAGGTACTGTTACATTATCAGACCGTAAGCGAACCGGCCACTATTAGGAAGTTAGTCAGTGTATTACACAAGAGCAGTGGAGAAGTTCTCAAGAAGAAACCAAAGTAAGTAGATTAATGATATAGAATCAAATTTGTGCACACAGAAACAGTGAACTGAAAAAAAAAAAAAGTAATGTTCTAAACAACCCCGTATCACAGATTTTTTATGATGAACATTTAGTATTGTTGTATGATGAACATAAATTTAAGAGATTATTTGCTGAATCTCTTCTCCTTTGCAGTAGCTCTCAAATCTCATTTGCGCTTCTGCATTTGTTAACTAAAAATAAAACTATGAAAAATAAATGTTGGTGATATAACTAAAGCTGAGGTAAAACAAAATGTAAATATTAGATTCAATTAAACAACTGAATTTAAAAACTTAAACGAAGATTTGAGATGTTTCCTTAGAAACTAACTGAAAAGCTTAAGTTGAACTAAAATTAACTAAAGCTCAAATAAAAATGAATTGAAGCTAAATAGAAATGTTTAAAAAAACAAATCCTATGAAAATAATAAGCACATAACAAAGTCACTATAACATCAACTAAAATAAAATAAAAAACGGAAAAAACCCAAATTAAATATTAATAAATACTATAATAGTATTTATAAATATTTCAGTATTAATAAATACAAATAAAGCGCGTCCCATATTCCAAGTTTGTGATTACCATTGACACTTTCTGATATCATCTTTGGGTGAACTGTTTCTTTAACAATGATTCAGAATAGTGTTTTTACTGGAGAGTCATTGTCAGCTTGATGTTGATGGTGTATAAATGTTGTGCAGGTGTTTGAGTAAAGGACAGAATGCTGTGGTGGAGATTCAAACACAGAGGCCTGTGGCTCTGGAGCTCTACAAGGACCATAAAGAACTGGGGCGCTTCATGCTGAGATATGTGGGCTCCACCATTGCTGCTGGAGTTGTCACAGAGGTAAAAGGCAGTACATATCCACCTTTTCTCACTAAACACATTGCCATGTTGTATTCATCAGCATTTTTTTTTGATATTGCATGATGAGAATGTGATGCTTGTTAATACTGCTAATGTTTATACTGTTCTAGATCAAAGAGTAAGAACCATTTGGAACTGGATCCTCCCGAAAAAACTGGGCGAAACCTCTGGACAGAAGTGCAATTCCCCCTCAGAGCTACAGTAACACAAACACATACACACAGATGCCCACCAGGCAACATCTAGCCACAGTTCATTTCACATTTCACCCGGCTAAAGGCCCTAGAATGAGCATGAATGTTTGTGTGTGTGTGAGAGAGACTGCATTTTGTCCTGCTCCTCAACTTGCAGTATACAATTTGATCTGTGTAGTAATTCATCCAAAATTTCAACTCAAACCCTCCTAAACACACCCTCCTCACAACAAACTGAACTCATTTTCTTTTATAATTTTTGACTATATTATGGCAGCACATAATGAACATTTAGTCTTGGTTCAAATGGAAGATTTTTAAGGTTACTTAATATGATTAGTTAAGGATGTGTACATTTGTAAAAGGGAAAATAGAATAAACAACACAACTGGCTGATCTCATCTCCTCCATCAATTTCTCATGCAAGCAGGACAGTGTGAGTGAAACCTGCCCTTCCATTGCTGCTACTCTGTCTTGACCATTAATGAGAAAACAGAAGGATTGAGAACTAGTGGACATGCTTGATATGCTGTGGATGTGGGAGAAACTCATCCGCGGGTCTGTAATCTAACAGTAATCACTTTAAGGACCTAACGGACATGACTCTTACTCGTCTGTTTTTGACTTGATTATTAAGGGGTTTTAATTTAAAGAATATTTTGTTTGGGTTTCTCGAAACTGAAGTTGTTCATTTGGGGGAAAGCTGCTTCATCAGAAAAATAAAGAAAAATATTGATCACTGTGGAAAACATGAGTCTGTGTATTGCTTTGCCAGTAAACATAGTATTTCTTCATTGTTACATCTATGTTGCCATTTTGGAAAGTGTTTGTTGGTTTTATCATGGAAGCCTTTTTCCACCACAGAACACTAAAAACAAATGTGAAGAAAAATTAACGGTAACACTTTAGTATAGGGAACAATTCTCACTATTAACTAGTTGCTTATTAGCATGCCTATTATTAACATATTGGATGGATATTAGTACTTATAATATTCTGCATGAACATATTCTACATCCCTAATCCTACCCAATACCTAAACTTATTTTTTATGATGAACATTTAGTATTGTTGTATGATGAACATAAATTTAAGAGATTATTTGCTGAATCTCTTCTCCTTTGCAGTAGCTCTCAAATCTCATTTGCGCTTCTGCATTTGTTAACTAAAAATAAAACTATGAAAAATAAATGTTGGTGATATAACTAAAGCTGAGGTAAAACAAAATGTAAATATTAGATTCAATTAAACAACTGAATTTAAAAACTTAAACGAAGATTTGAGATGTTTCCTTAGAAACTAACTGAAAAGCTTAAGTTGAACTAAAATTAACTAAAGCTCAAATAAAAATGAATTGAAGCTAAATAGAAATGTTTAAAAAAACAAATCCTATGAAAATAATAAGCACATAACAAAGTCACTATAACATCAACTAAAATAAAATAAAAAACGGAAAAAACCCAAATTAAATATTAATAAATACTATAATAGTATTTATAAATATTTCAGTATTAATAAATACAAATAAAGCGCGTCCCATATTCCAAGTTTGTGATTACCATTGACACTTTCTGATATCATCTTTGGGTGAACTGTTTCTTTAACAATGATTCAGAATAGTGTTTTTACTGGAGAGTCATTGTCAGCTTGATGTTGATGGTGTATAAATGTTGTGCAGGTGTTTGAGTAAAGGACAGAATGCTGTGGTGGAGATTCAAACACAGAGGCCTGTGGCTCTGGAGCTCTACAAGGACCATAAAGAACTGGGGCGCTTCATGCTGAGATATGTGGGCTCCACCATTGCTGCTGGAGTTGTCACAGAGGTAAAAGGCAGTACATATCCACCTTTTCTCACTAAACACATTGCCATGTTGTATTCATCAGCATTTTTTTTTGATATTGCATGATGAGAATGTGATGCTTGTTAATACTGCTAATGTTTATACTGTTCTAGATCAAAGAGTAAGAACCATTTGGAACTGGATCCTCCCGAAAAAACTGGGCGAAACCTCTGGACAGAAGTGCAATTCCCCCTCAGAGCTACAGTAACACAAACACATACACACAGATGCCCACCAGGCAACATCTAGCCACAGTTCATTTCACATTTCACCCGGCTAAAGGCCCTAGAATGAGCATGAATGTTTGTGTGTGTGTGAGAGAGACTGCATTTTGTCCTGCTCCTCAACTTGCAGTATACAATTTGATCTGTGTAGTAATTCATCCAAAATTTCAACTCAAACCCTCCTAAACACACCCTCCTCACAACAAACTGAACTCATTTTCTTTTATAATTTTTGACTATATTATGGCAGCACATAATGAACATTTAGTCTTGGTTCAAATGGAAGATTTTTAAGGTTACTTAATATGATTAGTTAAGGATGTGTACATTTGTAAAAGGGAAAATAGAATAAACAACACAACTGGCTGATCTCATCTCCTCCATCAATTTCTCATGCAAGCAGGACAGTGTGAGTGAAACCTGCCCTTCCATTGCTGCTACTCTGTCTTGACCATTAATGAGAAAACAGAAGGATTGAGAACTAGTGGACATGCTTGATATGCTGTGGATGTGGGAGAAACTCATCCGCGGGTCTGTAATCTAACAGTAATCACTTTAAGGACCTAACGGACATGACTCTTACTCGTCTGTTTTTGACTTGATTATTAAGGGGTTTTAATTTGAAGAATATTTTGTTTGGGTTTCTCGAAACTGAAGTTGTTCATTTGGGGGAAAGCTGCTTCATCAGAAAAATAAAGAAAAATATTGATCACTGTGGAAAACATGAGTCTGTGTATTGCTTTGCCAGTAAACATAGTATTTCTTCATTGTTACATCTATGTTGCCATTTTGGAAAGTGTTTGTTGGTTTTATCATGGAAGCCTTTTTCCACCACAGAACACTAAAAACAAATGTGAAGAAAAATTAACGGTAACACTTTAGTATAGGGAACAATTCTCACTATTAACTAGTTGCTTATTAGCATGCCTATTATTAACATATTGGATGGATATTAGTACTTATAATATTCTGCATGAACATATTCTACATCCCTAATCCTACCCAATACCTAAACTTGTACCTTACTATTAATAAGCAGCAAATTAGGAGTTTATTGAGGCAAAAGTCATAGTTCAAGGTTTGTTATAGCGAGAATTTCACCTTAAAATAAAGTGTGACCCTCAGAATTCAGGGAAAATAGTCAATTATGAGATTTAAACTTGCAAATCTGTGGAAAAAAGTCGGAATTGTGAGTTGTATAATGGAATAGTAAGAAAAAAAGGCATGATTATTTGTCCCAATTCTTAGAAATGTTAGAAAAAAGTCATAATTGTGGGATTAAAAAGTTGCAATTACCATTTTTGCTTTTTTAATTCTTTGGAAATGGGCTACCCTGCTCAACAAAAGCATTGTTTATTCTGGACAGGAATGTATGTTTTTCCTGCATGTAAGCTGTTTATTTTCATCCCTACAATTTTCATTAGGCTTTTTGATAAGGCTTTTAGCACCTTTTGGTCTGATGCTGAATGACGTGAATCCCAGTGCGTTGATGTTTTGTACACACAGTTTACTATTGCAGTGTAATGTGAGTTATGCAAATCAAGTAATTTTCCACTTACTCTAGAAAGTGCTCACTCTCTGAAACGCTAACAGATGTAGCTAAGAAGTTGTTTTCTTATGTGAGAATGTGCTGCTGTCATTTTCCACTTCATGGCCTGATAATCAAAAGACTTTGCAGCTTGTTCAGAATAGATAAGGACTCAAAGACGGTTACACATTGATTCAGTGAAGCTTGGTTTAATCAATTCGTCTCTGCCTCTTGGTTGTACTCTAGAGGAATACGCTGAAAAATTACTAGTATGTTTCCACAAAGGAAATATACTGAAATTGATGATAAATATGCTGCTTAGACATTATCCACCACACAAGATAGTAGTTAATAAGCATAATTACAATCAAAAAACACAATGAAAAATAGGGCACTTGACCTTTTAGTTTTATAGCACTGAGGTTGCTGAAGTGGATCAATCAGGGTAACAAATGACTTTTTCTTGACTGAGCTTCGGGATATTAAGTGTATGTGCTGCAGAGTTGAGTGCAGCAATCGCAGTCTCAAGAGATTCTGACATTAGCTCTGCTTTAAAAGCATCAAAGAGTTTTCTGAATTACCCACAAAGAAACATTTCTGACAATAGCAACTTTTTAATGCTGCCTTTCTCTAATTTCAGCTCATTGTTCTCTTTGATCCTCTTTTTAAATCATTCAAAGTGATTGTCTAATGATCTTTTCCTTCCTTTAATTTTCTGCATCACTGCATACAATGGCATTTTCACAGTAAGAGTTGTCTTTTTTCCCTGCCTGTTAATTTTCCTTATAGATTTTTTTCCCTTATAGATATTTTTCTCTGTATAGTGGTTTATATACAGAGGGGAAGTTGTGGCCTAATGGTTAGAGAGTCGGACTCGTAACCCAAGGTTGCGGGTTCGAGTCTTGTGCCGGCAGGGATTGTAGGTGGGGGAGTGAATGTACAGCGTTCTCTTCCACCTTCAATACCACGACTGAGGTGCCCTTGAGCAAGGCACCGAACCCCCAACTGCTCCCCGGGTGCCGCAGCATAAATGGCTGCCCACTGCTCCGGGTGTGTGTTCACGGTTTGTGTGTGTTCACTGCTGTGTGTGTGTGCACTTTGGATGGGATAAATGCAGAGCACTAATTCCTAGTATGGGTCACCATACTTGGCCACATGTCATGTCACTTTTTTTATATATTTTTCTTGAGAAATTAAATTTCAACATCCACCCATTTTTTCTCTGGGGCTGGTCTTTTGATTTGGAAAGAGCAAAGTCTCTCACTTTTGAGTCTTTCTGCTCTTCACCATAAATCTTTCATGATTTGTTCTAATGCTGCTTCATGAAACATTAAAGTCGTATCAATTTATAAAATTGCTTTGTAATTAAGCTACCCAGTGGAATAAATATATAACAGTGATGTTATCACTGTTACCAAAAAGTAGCTTGTTACTGGAAAAGCTACACTATTTTGAACAACTATACTGACAGGTTAATTGTTGTTGATACTTTTACTTGGTCACAATACAGTACTGGTGTTACACCGATCCTCAAAAAGAGTTCTTTTCAGTTTGAGATATTTTAATATATTGGACATTTATATAGATACTTTAAGGAACCAAAGGTGAAACGTTAGCCTGTGTAAATACAAACCACCGCATGCCTTACCAGTGACTTTTCTCAACATTTGTGGACTTGTAGTGGTATTAGGATCATTTGTGTTACTGTGTATTTCACCAAGTAAAGTAGGTAGACTATCTTTGCAGCTTTCTTCTTGTGACTGACGTCTCTGCCTCATCCTCCGCATCCTGGGTTATTTCAGGCCTGAAGCACTGCTCTCAGAAACACAGCAACACAAACACTCCCAATGTAACCTCTTAATACTGTGACACATCTATCAGCCTCCTCCACACCTGTACATATTTTGGTTTTCATTTCTTTAAAGAACGTGCTTCCTCAAAACGTGTTCCCCAACATACATTATCAGCATTGGGTGCTATTTCTGTGCACACTACATGATAAAAGCACCCACTCCAGTTGCCCAAATGAGGATTTCAGTATATTATAAACATGTTTGTCTCTAAATAATCCCTTTAAATGTGTTGAGGTTTAGTGTTATATAGTTTTGTACTGGTTTATTTAGTCAAATTTATTGTAAATGTATTGGTCAGTCATCAATATATCAGTGTTTAATATTCAACTCAAGGCAACGATTCCCTTTTCACAGAAATGTGAATAATATCTCAAAACCTCCAGCAAGTTGAGGTCTTTTAATGCCCAGCTCATGCTCTAATTAACGAGTGTCATATCTGCTGGAGGAGTTATTTAGTTTACTATGCAACCTCTCATTTGCTTGAGTAAACAGATTGCAAACGAGTTCGGTGAAAGCTCATATGTAACAGTGTGCTGACTGGTGCGCAAACATTTCAGGGTTTTCTTTTGTCTGCAAAACTGATTTTTAATCTAATTTTTCTGCGATGTCAAAAGACATTAAATATCTAGTGCTGGAAAACTATACCGGTGGGAAGTTTGTACCATGTTCCAAGTTAATAGACTCTTTCAACCCATCGACTGGAGAGGTTTATTGCAAAGTTCCAGACAGTGGACCCGAGGAGGTGAGATTTTTTTGTGATATTTCTTTTATAATTCTCAATTTCTTTCTAATATTTGAAGATGTAAGTTGTGCGTGATCAGATAAGGTCTGTGTCACTATAGATGTACTTTCTTGAACGTTTGTTTGAATGGGTATTTCACTAGATGAACATTTTCACTTGTTTCTAGTGTAAAAACATCATTGTAGTTTCAACTTTAAAAATATGTAACTAGTCACAAGATTATCTGGCTGAAGACACAAATTCCAAGGAAGGCGAAAGTAATGACACTTACTGAGTCAGGGTGACTACCTTTGGTCTTCTCGCGGTAAACACTTTGGTCATAATCAGGTGGGCGACGCTCAATGTCCAGTGTTTAATTATTAACTATTATAGCTCACACCAGAAGAACTTGTCTGGGTCAGTGGAACAGAAAAGAGTTTAGATGTGGTATGCACAGTCCATCACTGTTTTGTGCAATATTATTATATATTATATGATATTACTTATTTTTTAAATACATTTTATAGTCAGTAGAGTCAATTTTAATGCACTTAATAAAGAATTTAAACACCAAAATGCTGTCAATACATAACTCTTGCATATCCTAAAATGGGCCAATACCTATACAAAGCAAGATGTATCCAATTTACATGCGAGTTAACCCTTTGCTCACTGCTTATAGGTGGATGCTGCAGTGACAGCAGCCAAAAAGGCCTTTCCTGATTGGTCAGCTAAGAGTCCAGCAGAGCGATCCAAAGTACTGAATAAACTGGCAGACCTGATAGAAGCTCGACTGGAGGAGTTTGCCCAGGCTGAGTCTAAAGACCAGGGTAAAACACTAGAAACTGCAGTGTGACACAGCACCATATTACAGGACACACTAAACAGGTTTGACTAAATAAGTTCAAAGGACTTACTAGTGCACAATAAACCAAAGGTAGACAGAATTTAAGCGAGTCAGCAATGTACTTTTCTACTAGTAAACAGATGTTTTTTTTTCCCCCAGTGGCTTATATAATATTTAGAGAGCTGAATGGCCACATATATCAGTGTTATTTTAGTATTCTTTATATACTACTGTAGTATTTATTAATATTTTCAATTAGCTTTTTTTGTAATTTTATGTGCTTTTGTCTTGTTTTATTAGTTTTAGTAGCTTTAACATTTTTTTTTTACTTTTTCGTATTTTTCTCATATTTTTAAGTTTAACGTTTTAGTTTTTTTTTAAATTAACAACAACTCTCTCACTATATATATATATATATATATATATATATATATATATTTGTAATACTTGAAAGTATTTTACACAATATTCAGTTGGACCATATATCAGTATTACTTTCTATTTTCTGTCACTGAACAATTTCATTCACTTTCATTCAGTTCTTTTTGGGGGCTCTTAACGCATTAAATGGACTTAACGCATTTTTTCCAGGGAAGACTATAACTTTTGCCCGAAATGTGGACATTCCACGATCAGCAGACAACTTCCGTTTTTTTGCTTCATCTGTCCTGCATCACACTAATGATTGCAGTCAGATGGATCACATGGGCTGTCTCAACTACACAGTTCGCTGTCCTGTAGGAGTGGGTATGTGGTTGTCTATACTGTACTAT